CTTTTTGGAGGAATTGTGTCACTAGGGAGTGAGCTTTAAGGTTTCAGAAGCTTAATCCTGGTCAGTGTGTCATTGCCCCTGCCTGCTGCCTGCTACCCTCCATTATCGTGACTGCCTGCACACTGTCATGCTACCTGCTGTGACTATAATGGACTATGAACTGTAAGCCAGCCCCAACTGAATGCTCTCCTTTATAAGAGTTGCCATGGTCATGGTGTCCCTTCACAGCAATAGAACCCTAAGACAGGGATGTAAGTCCGTTAGTACAGCGCCTCTGCCTCCTCTGCCTCTGCTTCTTCTGACTTGAGTGCCAGACTATGCCCGGCTCCCACTCACTTCTTTAGATGTCACTGCTTTAGATGTTTGGTGCTGTGAAAGTGAAAAACAACACCAAAAGCAACATTAAAAGATCTTTCAAAATGGAGCTGGGAGGCCATTTAGGTATGCACAGGTGACCTTCAGCAGATGACTGCTGTCACCTAAAGCAGATCACTCATTACAGGATGGCTGGAAACTTGACCCACAGCAAGAGGTTATTCACATCTTCACACACACACACACACACACACACACACACACACACACAGTCTTCAATCAGGTTAGTCACATAGCATTTCTTTTATCTCCAACAGAAGTTTCCCCACAAAGAAATTTCTAAAACAAGAAATGTACTAAAACAAGACCCCTTGGGCCCATCTTCCTTTCCATCATTGGAACACTGACCTAGAGCTATTTGAATCTGATAAAACAAATAACAAAACCAAAACAAACCCCTTTTATACTTATGCAGTCTCCTGTTTGAAATAACTATGTATATAAGGGATTGAACACACACATGCACACACACAAAGCCTTCCCTTTTTTGGTGGTATTGGAGATTGTGGTGGTTTAAGCAGGAATGAAAGCTAGGCCCATAGGGAATGGTACTATTAGGAGGTGTGGCCTTGTTGGTTGAAGAAAGTGTGTCACTGTGCAGGCTTTGAGATCTCCTATGCTTAACCTACACAGCATGGGACACAGTCTCCTCTGCTGTCTGGGGATCAAGATGCAGAACTCTCAGCTTCTCCAGCACCGTGTCTGTCTGCAGGCCGCCATGCTTCCTGCTATGGCGATAATGGACTAAACCTAAGCCAGCCCCAACTAAATGTTTTCCTGTATAAGAGTTACCTTGGTCATGGTGTCTCTTCACAGCAATAGAAACAGTAGCTAAGACAGACATCAAGGCCAAGCCTTGAACATGATGGCAAGCACACTTCCACTGGGCTATAGAACAGACATGCACAGGGATTTCTTGAAAAAAAAAAAAAAGTGCCTGAAGTTAATATTTCTTCCTTACTGACACCATCACCCACCTAACATCTTGGACACACCTGCCTACTCTACCTTCCAGAACACTCACTGTGCCGATCATAGTGAGACTCTAAAGAATTCTTTCTACAGCTTAGCTGTGGAAGCACAGACAGCAGTTCTCTGTGGATCTGAGGCCAGCCTTGTCTACAAAGTGAGTTCCAGGACAGCCAGGACTTTTATACAGAGAAACCTTTGGTGGGTGGGGGAGGGGTGGGGAGTCTCTTCCGTGCATCTAAGGATGTCACAGAAAGAAAATAATAACCAGTGTTTTCTGCTACTGCACTTATTTACAGTCGCTTAAAGTCCCCACAATGAAAACACGGGTAACGAGCAGGGGGTGAGATACACTAACATCCACTTCCGTGATGCTCAGAGTGAGAGATAACTAACACACAGCCATGTGAGGTGGCCACGCTTTTAATTCCAGCACTTCCAAAGCAGATGCAGATAGAGCTCTGTGCGTTCAAGGCCAACCTCCTTTATATAGGGAGTTCTGGGCCAGCAAGGGCTACACAATAAGACCCCTTCAGAAAAGAAAAAACAAATACTCAAACAAAACCTCACAATCTCTGACAACTCAAGGTTCCTGGGGAGACCCCACAAGACAGAGTGTTGTGCGACACACACTCTGTAGGCGGCACAGGCACCAGGGTATCATGGAAAAAGGTTTCTGATGCAGTTCAGGATTTTTTTTTTTAAGATTTGTGTATTATTTATATAGCATTCTGCCACATCTCAGTATGTTGTGCCTGAATCGCGATACCCCAAAAGACCACCACCAGGAGCAGAGTCCATTGCAAACCACATGAGGATCTCTTTATTACAAATTACAAGCTGCAGCTTGGGCCCACACCCCCCACTGCCAAAGCAGTGAGAGCCGAGAGCCTGTGCTCAGGTTAGTTGGGGGATTTAAAGATTCCGGTCCCTCCCAGCGTGCCCTAGGCAGGGGTGATTCCTGCCTGGCAAGCATCTATTGGTCAAAATGCTGCATTTTGAATTGATTGGCTATAGGAAGGTCCCCAGACCATTAATGATCTGATGTCCCTCCCTAGGGGGATGGGCCAGTTTCCTAGCAACTGTATCTCTAGTGGGTGGGGAATAAATTCAGTAAGGCGGTCCTTCCCCTCAGGATGTTCGACCTCTCCACCCAGCTAGTCTTAGTTCAGGCCTTAAACATTAAAATAATAGCCACCTTTTTTTAATCTTTTGGTCTCTCAACTATAGATGGTTATGAGCCACCAAGTGTTTGCTAGGAATTGAACTCAGGACCTTTGGAAGAACAGCGAGTGTTCTTAACCTCTGAGCCATCTCTCCAGCCCCCACAGTTCAGGATCTTGAAGAGATCAGAAAATTAATGCTTGAATAAGTACATATTCTGAGACCCTGCAGGCCTCCAACCTTTCTGCACTACTCTTTGGAAGTGCCTCCAGGCTCGGTTTACATACACAGCTGAGACTCTGACCCACGGGCCCTGGCTTAGCTTGACCACCCATCACCCTCAACACGCCCAGCTTGAAAGTACAGTCAGGATTTGAGCTCACATCTGACTCAGAAATTTCAAAAAGGAAATTTACTCCAGGCCCTAAAAGTCCCTGAAGTTACCACTCACCACCCACAAGATCACCTATTAGAGAAGATGTGTGTACTGTTCCCATTTGCTCATCAGGATCCCCAGAGCCAATTCTTCAAAAAGACCCAGCAGAGGTTTGTGGTTACTTCCTGGAGGTCGACATGCCCATCCTCAGACCCCTCCCCTGCCCCAAACCAGGACAGCGGTGGACATCCCTCCCCAACCTTCCACCGGAGACTTTTGCCGATGGCCCGAAGCCCAACAGGATGAAAGGGAAATCCAGCTTCTGCCAATCAACGATAACTTGGGGAGCACCTGGCTGGTTGTCACTGCAGGGAGACTGGGAGAAGGGGCACCTGCAACTGACCTCTTTAAACTACTCTTTTCTCTGAGGTTTCTCCACAATCCTGCCAACTTCTAGGCAAACCTTTTGCTCCTCCTTTGGAGGAGCTGCGACACCAAGCAGAGAGACCTACAGACCAGGAAGACAGAAACTTGGGAGTGGGTGCGGTCTGAGAATGGAGTAGGTGAGCCTTTTTTGAGATGAGGGCGTGGTCTGCTGGGCAGACCCTGGGGCCAAGGGCTATAGGTAGGACCTGAGAGGTTTGCATAGAACTGTCCAGTAGATGGGAGACACTAGAGCTGAGCTTTATCTTCCAAAGACTCCATCTTCCCTGATCCCCACCGAGCTTTCAAAAAATGTGGATTCTACCTGTTACAATGGTCGCCGTCTTCAGAGTAAAATCCAAATTTCACATACGGTATTAGAACATCTGTATTCAGTTCTACTCAAACAATTACTTGATAGTATGTCAAAATATTTAAGCATAAAGTTACTGTCCTAATTTTATTTCTAATACTGTGCTAGACACCATGACCAAATGCAACTTGAGGAGGAAAAGATCTATTTCATTTTAAAGACTACATCCATCAAGAGGGAAAGTCTGGGCAGGAACGCAGTCAAGGCAGGAACCTGGAGGCAGCAACTGAAGGCTCATCCCAGTCCTCCTTGCACTTTAACAAGATCCCTGTTTCTCAATAGCAGGTATGCCATGCTGTGGGTCAAGGTGCCCGGCTTGGTGAGAAAGTCTTGCTGGTTGTCCCCTCCGCTGACTAGGACCACAGAGCCCTTCTTGCTTCGGCCAGAGCTGTAGCATCTGTGGTCCCTTGCTTTTCATGGGAAGTGTGGTTAGCTTTCACCATCCACTTCTGCTTGTATGGCTCTGAGAGCGGTGGCTGGGAAGTAGAAATTCCGTTTGCAGCCAGCGGGCTAAGGGCTACCACACACACACAAAGAACTTAGGGGTTTTTGTTTTTGTGTTTGTTTGTTTTTTCAGAGCACTACTCAAATTCATAAAGTGGAGCCTTCATGTAATCACTTCCCAAATATCTCATGGCTTTGTGCCATTACAGTGAGAATTGTATTTCATCACATGATTTTGAGAGGAACACCAGCCTTTACATTACAGTAAGATGATTATCAGTAAGATTATCGCACCAAAAAAGACAAAATAATTATGAGGTGTCTGTTGTAACATAACAAGTGATTAATAATAAATGATCAGTGTTTTCTGAATCCTATAATATTTGTAGTGCCAAAAAAAAGTTTAATTTTTTTTGAAGGGACTTTTTCAAGTCTTCCCTTGACCTCATATTCTGGGCATCCCTGTGAGAGCATCTAGACTAGGTTACTTGAGGTGGGAAGCTCTGTCTCAACCATAGGCAGCACCATTCCACGGTGCGTTAGTCCAGGCCCCAGTCCTGCCCGGGGCTGAAAGGAGGTGCGGGAGCAATGGCTCGGTGCTGGAGATTGCATATTGTTCTCGCAGAAAGCGTGAGTCCAGTTCACAGCTTGCTTCTGTGCTGGGCACAACCACCTAGACCCCCAGCTCCAGGGGGACCCAATGCCCCTAGCCTCGTGCTTTGAGCACAGTCTTCGTGGAAGGCTTGTGACTGTCATGCTGTTTTCAGCTGTGGCATTGTTAGATTAATAAAAGAATGAGGCTGCCAACCGATCTTCTTTGTAAGAGGTTTATTAGGTGGGTATGGAGGGAAGGGCAGAACAGGACATGATGGGGAGAGAGAGAGAAAGGAGCACTGAGAGAGAGAGAGAGAGAGAGAGAGAGAGAGAGAGAGAGAAAGGGAGGGAGAGGAGCAAGAGAAGCAAGAGAGAGTAAGAGTAAGAGAGCAACCACATGTTGGGTTGTCCCTTTAAGGGGCAAGGTAACCAAGCCTTCCAGGTGTGGCCACCTGGCCGGTGACACATGATGACATCATAAGTTGCTGGTAATCCAGCAGGTTGTGTTCCAAAATACTAACATTCCTCCCTTTTTCTGTAATTAAAAAATGAGGACCTTGGGCTGCTTTTTATAAGGTAAGTTAAAGTATATAATTTAGGTTCATTGGAAGCAGCTCTTGGTTGTCATGCAGGGGTTGAGAGAGAAGAATTATAGCAACAAAATGGTCAGATTGCAAGGTCAAGAGTAAGGGACGCCTCTGCCCTGGAAAATTTAGGGTAGAGAGTTGTCAATAGAGAGAGTTGCCAGCCATGCAAGGCAGCAGGTAGGGACTGGGGAATGCTGGGAGAATCTGGAGCTGCTTATCCTGGTCCTGAAGCACACCATTTCAGCCCTTTGTTAATAACAAGTGAATAATGGGCATAGATTCTCTTCTGGCTACTTCCTGCTGACACTGGGGGTGCTGTGGGGAGGTCAAAAGGCCTCCCTATTGGCCAAGTGCAGGAAGAACAGGCTGTTTTGATGCTGTCCAGGGTCTGTGAGAACACCCATGGCTGGGAGGGAAGGTGCAGGTCCAGCTTGTTGGAAGTCTGTGAGGTCAGAGTTGAACACCTGTAGCTGCTTTGGCGCTGTTGTGGCTGTAGGAAACATCTGTGTCTGGCAGGACACTGAAACACATATATAGGCAAAAGATAAAGTTGAGTAGGTTATGGAGAAAATCCTTTAGGTATACCTTGAAAACTTTTGGGAGAGCAAACAGAGAAGGTTTGGAAGGTTTGGATCAATGAGACTTGAACATGGGAACCTCCGTCTACCTGGGGGACCTTTATTTACCCAATCACCGGCAATATTTAAAGAAGGCTTTGTTTTGGATCTGTCATTGAGGTGAGGTTTGGTTACAAAAGTGTGTAAACTTAGAGGCCCTGGTGCTAGCTGGCACTAGGTATAGAAACTTAAAATTCTCCAGAGGTCATCCTATCTAGGGGGACGGGCATCTTGGTGTCTTCCGTTGGGGTCAGAAGTCAGGGACCTTTCAATGGCATCCCAATGGCAAGGTGTGATTCGAGTGAGAGGTGCTACCTGGTCCAATAGCTCATCAGCTTTTGGCCAAGGACTGGGGTGCAGATGCCCAGCGGGGCACGGCTGAGGTACAATGGTTTGCCTAGCGCTAGGTCTTCCTACGAGCAAGTGAGCAAGAGAGGGGGAGAAGGAACCATGTGCGAGTGGGGATGTACTGCCCACTGGGGAGAGTAAAATGGGAGACCTAAAATGGAGGTCAGCATAGAGGGTCAACCCTAGACAGTTAGGGCTACAGCTGGGGGGGGGGGTCCCTCCATCTCAAAAGATAGTACGAAGTTGCCAGAGCTCTGTGGTCAAGCCTACCAAGAGAGGCGTTTTATGCTGGAAAAATGGAGTGAACTCACCAATCTAGTAGCTGGTCAATAAGGAGAACTCACCAATCCAGCCAGTGTTGCATGCAGTAAACAGCAGTCTGGTAGCCAGGAAAGGAAGTCCCAAAACCAGGGAAAGGGGAGGAGTCCCACCTTTTGAGATAGGCAATAAGTGCAATACTTATCTGAAGTCCAATTGACCTGAGAGGTGGATTTAAGTGGACTTTCTGTAGCTTACAAGACTTACTTTTAAGTTTTAAGAAGGAGATAAAACTTTAGATATGTTAATATCACGATTGTACTCTGCATTGTAGAAAAAGGCAGTAGACATACATATTTGTGTTAATAGCATAAGTATTTTTTAAGGTGAGTTCTGAAAAGGCAAAAGCCTTTTATGAAGTAAAAGGGAAACTCACTTGATCTTAACTTTTAGTATAAGTATACATATTATGGAGGCTTACAATCTTGAGCTTAGAAACATAATAGTATGTGGTATAGTGGAATGTTTTTGTATTAGAGTCAGATTAATAAATTAGAGCTCTGTTGGTAAAGGTCAAAACTCTGGACAGTCAATACAACAGTAGCATAACAATAGAAAGAAATATTAAGCCTTTTTATCTATTTAAGATACCTTAAATCACTTTAGACCTTGTAACCTTTATAACTTGCACTTACCAACCTTAAAACACTTTCTTAGACCCTCAAATATTTATAAGTTGCATTATCAACCTTAAGACAACTTTTTAGACTCTCAAACATGTATAACTTACATTTATCAACCTTAAGACATCTCTCAAATATGTTTTTTGAGAGGGACCTTTGTATTTAGTTATTTACCATGAGACATAGTTGAGACTGCTATGAAGATTTATTGTCCTTTAGCTAAAGGGATGGTAAAAGGTTTCATTTAGGCCTATTTTTGAATCTAGCAACAAGGCATATTGTGTCTAGGCCTGGCAATAGCAGCTCTAGGACTTAGGCATAAGGCCTGGTCTCCTGCATATGAAGAGAACTGAGAAGGCATTTGAAGCCTCCCAACACAGATTTGGCAATATGTTCGTGGGACCTCATTGTGAGGTCAAAAACAGACCTATGATATTGCTCAGGGCTAGGCGAGAGTTGTGGAGGTTGCTGAGTCAAGGAGCCATTTTTCCTTCACCAGGCCAAAGAGCTAGAAGGCTGGAAGTGTCTGTGGCTCTTGTGCTGGTTGAACCTCCGTGGCTGGACACAGAGGACAAGCCTGCTTGGGGGCATTTTGACTTCCAGAGGCCAGTTTGCCAGCAGCCAGCTATGGCATGTTGCATCAGCAGCAGGACCAGCATCTACTTTGGCTGCATTTGAAAAAGTCACCTGGCGGAACTGACTTTTGCCTATGCAAACCTCTTGCCTTTTTTTCGAGAATGCCAGCAGCCTCAGAGTGCAGCTAAGGTCTGGAGCCAGTAGGGATGGCTCTTACTATTGCTACCAACTCCAATATGGTGACTGAAGGACTATCCTCAGATGTTTATTAAAAATTGCAGTGAGACCATGTTTGCAACTGTAGGACTATAAATATATATCTATGAAATGACCATTAACTTGCATTTGTTAACCATAAAATATTATGACTTTAGGTTTTGTCCTTGCTAAGTTGGAACCTTAAAAGTCATGAATATAATTTATTAAAGTGAGAGCACATGAGTTTTTGTATGATTTAGTATATAAAAGTTTATAGCTTATATTAGTCTAAGGCTATACTACAGATTAATAACATCATTTTTAGAGAACAAGACCAAGCATATTTTAACCTTTTGATGGTAGAGATACAGCAAATTGGCCCAGTTTTAACATAAATAAATACCTCTAAAATTAATAGATCTTAATTTAGAATATTGGTATAAAGCAATTTTAAAATTATATTTTAGCAACACATAGCAGGAGACAGTAACAGCCTTTATTAATTTAGGAACTGAAAAGACATAGGCATTTAGATTTATATTTTAAACCAACTTAATTTGAATAGATATTTATAAGTTTGAAATTTTATTATATAAAATTTATTTTGAAGCAGGGTTGAATTATAAGATAGTAAAATGTAACTTTGAATTTTTATAAAAATCCATACCAATTTGAAATGAGGCTCGTTGTTGTGGCCTAGTCTAAAAGATAAAATAAACAGTTAATTATGATTAAGACTTATAAATGTAAACCCAATGAGAAAATTATATAAAGCATTAGATAAGGAATTTAAAATGTAAGAGTAAAGTGTACAGAAATCAGAAAGAAAAGATTTTTTTTCAGCTTGGAAATAGCCCCTTAGAAGAACAGCTAGGAAGGAAACGAAAGCAGCTTGGTGAGGGAGGGGAGCGCATGGCAAGATGGCCATCTCAGCGGCCGGCCGGGCAGGGCGCGCGGGAGGCGGGGCCCCTTTGCCTGAACCCAGGATGGCCTGCGCCATGTTAAGTCTATGATTAAGCTATGGTTCTGCCCACTTCCTCCCAAAACCAACATGGCTTCGGAAATCTTGTGAGAGATTTTAAAATCCCGAGGGAGATTTAAAAGTTCCGCGGCTGTGCTGGGTTTTTAGAAATGTCTTACCTAAAGCAGGGAGCCAAGTTTTTAAAGCTGATTTTAGAGTTGTGTGAGTCTCCGCAACTTGGAGCACTGGCTGGGGTGGGGTCTCGCTGTTGGCCGCTGCAGGCGGGAGCGGCAGGCGCAGGCAGGCGCAGGCAGGTGGCACCATAGCGGGAGTGGAGTGCGGGCACTGCACTACTGCCACAGCAAGTGTTCGCATGAGAGCAGGGAAAGCAGGGGTTTTTAGGGATAGAGCAGAGAAAATCGGTTGAAACCATCCTATTAGATTTCACGAGTCCGAAAGGGATCCTAGCAAAGCCAGGAGAGACCCTATCCAAGTCATGGCACCAATGTTAGATTAATAAAAGAATGAGGCTGTCAACCGATCTTCTATGTAAGAGGTTTATTAGGTGGGTATGAAGGGAAGGGGGGGGAATACGACATGATGAGGAGAGAGAAAGGGGTGCTGAGAGAGAGAGAGAAGGGAGAGGAGCAAGAGAATAAGAGTAAGAGAGCGACCACACGCTGGGTTGTCCCTTTAAGGGGCAAGGTAACCAAGCCTTCCAGGTGTGGCCACCTGGCCGGTGACACATGATGACATCATACATTGCTGGTAATCCAGCAGGTTGTGTTCCAAAATACTAACAGGCACCATGAGCACGAGGCTGTTTGCTTACATCCCAGTGGATCAGAACACAGTTGGAACCAGAACTAAGCCATGACCCATAAGCAGTGAAGTTGCTAGGCTTCACCTCCTAAACCTTCCAGAACCAACAGAGCCACCAGCTGGATGCTTTACACTGAATCAGAGCACAAAGGTTCAAGAAAGTCCTATAAAACAGAGTCAGATCTGGGATGAGTGTCCAAGCTGAATGGCTGTTGTCATAGTTGGGAGGTTTGGGGCAGGGCTCTGCGAAGTCACTTCAGGAGCACAGAGGACAGGTACTCACTTTCTGAGTGATGTCCAGTGCTGCAAGTCTGAGAAGCCCAAGTTGAGAAATCAGTTAAAATATGGCTCCTGGAATCCTATTTGAGAATCTCTTATTAAGTGAGGGTACCAGGAGAACAGTTAGTGAACAAAGCAGAGGCTATTTTTCAGCTGAGGAAAGATCGGGGAGGAGGCTTGAAATGAGGCCTCTGAGAGGTAAGAAGCCCTCCAGCCCCCAGAGAGTGATAACAAAAGGGAAATGGAGCTATGGAGCTGCCAGAGTCATATGCAAATAACTCCTGGCATTGGGGGAGAGGCGAGCCTGTGGAAACAGCTTGGGGGCTGATGGGTGAGAGCCCAGAGCTGAGAACAAGCCTGGGAAATGATTGGGAAAAGCCCTGCTCAGAGGGGCTTCAGTCTCCTCTAAGCCCAGGGTTTCTGGACTTTTCTTTTGGTTGCTCTTCTCATTCCAACATATGGGTGTGGCAAGCAGACACACAGGGAAGCTGACCCAGCCTCCTGGAGCTTCCCACACACAATAATGTCTGGGCTTGCCTATTCGTACCTCAGAGGAGGGGTGGCACAAGGATGGGCTCAGAATGGAGAAGAGGGCTGCAGGGACTGTGTTCAGGCCTGTCTATTCTTCCATTCTCGTGCAATGCAGCTCATGGTTCAAGTGTACTTGGCAAGCACCATACCCGGCAGCTCTGTCCCAGCCTTGGCAACGATTCTCAGCACTTTTTTTTTTCTGGGTTGTGGGTCAAAGTAAGAATTTTAAGTAGATATATGAACCACTTCTCACAAGACAGTGCACACAGTCAGAGGGAGGGATGGGAGGTGCAGATACCTTAAGTAAATTTGTGGGCCCCAGCTGACAACCCTGACCAAGAGACAGAGAGGTTTTGTGTAAAGAAGGCAGGAAAAGGGTCCACACATCGTAGCTAAGAGCTGGTCTAGTGAGAGATGGAGAAGAAACCCAGATTGAGTTTTTGTCCTATGATAGCCATGATGGTGCCAGAAAGGGACAGAAAGGCAGGGCTGCACACAGCGGAGGAAAGCACTAGGGAACACTCTACAAGACTAGCATCATTATGCCTGCCTCAGATTTCCACCCCCCAGAGTTAACGTAAACATAAATGCACATGCTGCACACTGGGGGTCCCTACTCGAAGACTCCCAGGTCTTGTGAAAACTTGGGGAGATTTGCCATGCTCTTCCCGTTAACCTGTCTTGTGCTGTAGCTGTGCCTGCCATTGTAGCTGCGTCTGCCGCGACATCTGTATCTGCACGCATGTGCAGTGGGTCACCACTGCTCGGGAGCAGCCTGTGTTATGGCACCACAATTTATCCCTTCCACGGTGAGCTGCACACTTGAAGTGCTTCCTGACTGAGACAACTACAAATCCTGTTCCTGTGACGATTCCTGTTTGGGTCACCTGAAGCTCCTGGACTCTCTTTTGTAGAACATATAGTATACTTGTGAGCCAAAAAACGTATGTTGGCTCCTAAAAGACAGCTAACAGCCAACTATTTTCCAGGGTCAAACTGTCTTTTGTTTTTGATCAGTGACTTCCCCAAACCCTGTTTCAGATGAAAAAAACAGAACCTTTGGGAACAGGTCCTGGGCAAAGGCTGTGTCCTCCTCTTGGCTCTTGTGGGCTCTTGTGGGCCCTGAGGTCTAGAACTCAACCTCAGGCATCAGGTCCTTCCTGAGGGCTGAGAGGGAAACAGTAGCTGCCCCGCTCCAGAAGGAAACTCCCACCTGTATTGGTTACTTTTCTTATCTTGGTGACAGAAGGGAAGATTTACTATGGCTCATAGTTTGAGGAGAAGCAATCTGTTGTGGGGAAGGTGTGACTGAGCAGTTCCTGCTGGTGGCATGTGACGCTGAGGCTTGCTCACATCTCGGCAGATAAGGTTCTCCAAGATGGCCCTATCCTAGGAGCCTATGTGCACCTGTTAGTTCCTGTGTCCCACAGATTCTATAACCTTCCTAAACTATGCCAGCAGCTGGAGACAAGTAATGGGCACCAGGCATGTTTAAGCTACTCCATCACCTCATGCCTTTCCCTTTACCAGGGTCTTCAAAAGAGCAACAACTAAGATGTCTATTTTCTTCTCTGCATGGCCATAAGTTGGTTTCTCTGTTGGTCAAACTCATTAATTTTTCTTTGCACTTCAGAAACATTACTGCCTGTCCAGTTCCTAGGTGGAGACACCACAGGCATCATAGAAATGATCGGTAACAGGCCTGTAAGTGTTGCTTTTATTTCCTCAGAAGAGATGAGATGAAATGAGAGCCATAACCAAGCTTTACTTGGCATGGGTTGGGCTGAGTCCAAAGTGTTTCTGTCTAACTAGGCCTAGGTCTGAAAGCTTTTAGCCTACATACAAGCTAATCTTCTGCAAGCACAGACCTTGATGGCTTCAGCTTCCGGCCTCCATCTGCTAAACTAGGCCTACAATGTTTTTAGCCTTAGAGACTTATTGCGGAATAAGCTCAGTCTTTCCTACTTCTTTCTGGATTTTGGCTCTCTGGTTCAGCTGTTCTGGCCTAAACTCCTCTCCAAGCTAACTGATTCAACTGACTTCTCTCTGCCTCTCACTAAATTGCTCTGCTTCTGAATTCCACAAATTGAACTGCATGAACTCAACTACTATATTCAACTGAACTGCACCAAACTGTACTGCCTCCACAAACGGTCTTGTGCTCTCTCTCTCTCTCTCTCTCTCTCTCTCTCTCTCTCTCTGTCTCTCTGGACTGCTCTTAAGTAGCTTCTCTTTCCTATCTCTTCTTATGAAAGTTGGGTGTATCCTTTCTCTGATTCATTCTGTCAAATCTTTTTCTGATTCATCACTTTGTCTGCCTCTCAATTAGACATCATTGTTTGGAATCAAAGGTGTATGCTCAAATTCTAGCCAGGGGGATTAAAAGTGTACTAAGTGCCTGTCTGTATTTCAGCTAGATCATACAGACCTGTATCTTTGCATTTGACCCCTTGCCAGAGCAGCCATGTTGCTGGGCTAAAATTTCTTTACACAGGTCCATCAGAAATGAATCGGAAAGGTCATGTTGTGGTTTGTACCACCCACTTTTTCTAATTAATGCAATATGCAAAACTACCCCCTCCTTTTTTCTCTTCTCTATAGATCTATGTACAAAAATTCTAGGGTGGCTAATTTACTTCTGTTCCCAAAAGCCTAGCCAATGTCCCCAAAACTTAGAGCTGGAGAAGAAAGTGGTTCCTGCAAAGATCTAAGTGTGGATTGGAGCCCTGATCCAGTGTAAATACCCAAAGAGTACTTCATATTACCTGTCACAGGTGACAGCCTGTACTCCCTGCCATGTCACACAAGAAGTTCTGGGTGAGGAAAGCCCCTTGGTGCTCTCCAGCAGGTGACACTGCCACTTACTTCCCTCTCAGGATGTGACAGAAGAGGAAGCCAAGCACATTGGTTCTGCAAGGCCAGGCACTAACCCTCTGCCAGACATCTGGGGTGTGCTCCTTACCTCCGTTACTCCAACCAGGGAAAATGAGTCATAGAACTAAGGTCCACCCCATCTTCCCAGCTCCCTGGAAGATTTAGTGGGGAGGCTGCAGAGTAGGCCTGCATATGCTGCCTAGGTCAGAAGTTGTGGGTCATTCACTCTGTGGCTGTTTTAAAGGCCATCATTTTCACTGCTACAGCAGGGAACCCATCTTCTCCAAAAGAGAGATGGAACAAGCCCCTTAGTCAACAGTGATTCTGCGTCTCTTGTAACATAGGATGAGGCGGTGAGGAGGAAGGTCTAGTTCCAGGCATTTCTGATGCTTGCCTCATTGTGAGCTATAGCAATGACACTGTATGTCTCCCGTATAGTGGTCTATCTCTTCCTTCCTCCACTTCTCTCCACAGCATCTCTTATAGCCCAAACTTGACACAAAGCCAAGAACGACGGTGAACTTCTGATCTTCCTGTCTTTACTTTCCCAGTGCTGGGATTACAGACGTGTCCCTGGGCCCTGTTTTATGTAGTACAGAGAATGAAGCTCAGGGCCTTGAACATGTTAGGCAAGTATCTATATGCCCAGACCCTTTTTTTTTTTTTAACAGCATGAAGAAGAGTTGCTTTATGCAGATATGAACTCTGATTCAGACAGAAACAATCCACTCTTTCACTGCTCACTTTCCCAAACCTTCCCAGAAGGTTCAGTGATATTTTTAGACTCAGACACACTGATCAAACTGAGAATGCCCTGGGTTCTTTCATCTTGGCTTCCTTTAAAAACAAACTCTGGGAGGTGGGAGTGGAGTGAGGAGATGGCTGAATTATAAAGATCTCATCCTTGTAAGCATGAGGATCTTGAGTTCAGATCCTTAGCACCCAAGTAAAAAGCTGGGTGCTGTGGTGTGAGCCTCTGACTCCAGCTAGGGGTCAGGGAGACAGGCAGATCTCCAGAGCTCACTGGTCAGCCAGCCTAGCCCAGGCTCAATGAGAGACCTTGTCTCAAATAAC